CTCACTCACTCACTCACTCACTCACTCACTCACTCACTCACTCACTCCACTCACTCCACTCACTCACTCCACTCGCTCACTCCACTTTGCATCCTGCTAGCACTGCCCGCCGTGGTGGGGATAAGACCACTTGATAGCTTTGATGGTGGTTTCGAGTGTGTTACGTTTTGAAGGTCTCATGCGGATCTGATCGCAAAATCCAGAGCCTCCAAACTTCTCTCTCCGCCTCCTTCTCTCTCTCTCTCTCTCGTCCCTCTCATCCTTGTTCATCACATCATCAGACACTTTATCACACACCCACACACACACACACACACACACGCACGCCATCTTACCACACACACACACCTCCTCCCTCCCCTCCTTCTCATCCTCGTCCATCACATCATCATACTACACGTCTTAGCACAACCGCCTCATATACCTTCTCTCCTCACACTTCGTTCTTGACTTTTCATCTCACTACTCCGTCTCCCATGTGATGTTCATATACATTTGAAATTTGTAAAACTTATCATATGGGGTTATCCGGTCCTTTTATTTTCACCAGGATCGTGGAGCAAATTTGTCCTTCCCGAGCATGTCCAGGCCGAGCAGTGCCGAGTGGTGTCAGCCACTGGAAGAAATACTGTTATGAGTTATAAGCAGACACTTTTTAGCATTATCATATTAAAGGGGAGTTCAAGATTGCGGGTTCCTGTCCAAGAGACAGTGTTCCTTTTTGAGACTTCCATGAAAAGTGGAGGGAGCAAAACAATCACATGACATAGATGTTTGTTGTTGGCGTTTAGACATTTTCCCGTTCCACCGAATCTTCCAGTTAAATGGTTTAAGGGATTGTACTAGGAAGAGCGAGCTTCTGTGTTGTGTACTGTACTCAATAGCCTCCAACCTAATTCTAATGGCCTCCCACCTAATTTCGATGGCCTCCAGCCTAGAACCAATGGCCTCCAACCGAATAGCGATCGCCTCCAACCTAATTATGTTTTATTGTTTCATATTGTCTTCGTGTTTTCCGCAATCGGCTTTCCTGGCGTGACACGTTTCTCGTTGTTCCGTATGTTGTCATGGTATGCAGTGCTGTGCATATATCTACAAAGACTACGTGTCGGGGGTGGTGTGAGAGGGGATGGGGATGGGAGGGGATGGGATAATGAGGTTTCTGTGGATACCTACGTGTTTTTTACGTTTCTTGTTGCTACGTTGCTGATTGTCAAGGAACGCAGGTGGACTTGCATGTACACAGGGGAGTAACCTGATTACCAACACTCCGAAGGCTTTCCTTGAAGCCTGGCACCGCACGTGAAACACTTTTCGGCCACTCGGGTGATTGTTTCCCCATGACCCAATTGCAAGCAAGACATGAAACCAGCTCGTAGTACGAATGATGGAAGACCAGATCCTTTAGAAGGAGGAAACTGTGGGACTTTGGTAAAGAACTATTCGAACGGCACTCGTTTGAACTACGAGGTGCCATCCAGTAGTCAAGTGGTTCTATCATTTTTCCACAATCAATGTCAATGTACTGCAAATACCAATCGCAAATTCCACGTTTACCTGATGCTTCACTCCGGTTCAGTGCCTTTAAGATCAAGAAAAATTTGATTTGCGACACTCGTTTGCCTCTCCGAGTCTCTTCCTGCCAGATCCAAGATGGGGAGAACCGGCAGGGCAAGGCACGGGTGTGGTGAAGGGTGGGGCGGCAGGCCTGGTTTTTTTCCATGGAATCTGCGGGATGGTCCTGCATGAAAGCTTTGCAAGTTGCTCTTCCATTAAGTCCAATACTGAAAATTACAAAAAGACATCGTAACACAACTGTTTTTACATTGTAATTAGTATAGAGTCATGCCAGTACGACACCCGTTCACATATTCCGACTTATGCTGCCAGGACATCAGATTGACAAATGGTTGTTTCTTGGGGACGTTCTCTCATTCTCAACCCTGAAGTTTCGAGCTACGAGGCATTGTGTCTTCACGACTACTTCCGTTGACCTGTCATTGAGCTGCAGGGACTGATGGGGGTTGATGTCTGTCAAGAAACAGGTGGAGCTCAAATGGATGGGCACCATGGATACCTTCAAGCTTTATGCCGGTATCGCTGTGAAGCTCGAATCGGAAGGCCACAAGGCTGGGTACGAAGATAAGCGGAGATGTTTTTATGGCAATGCTACAGCCCGAGACTTGCCATTTGCATGCGCAAATGCTTTTGTTTTCGTTTATTCTCTTTGTTTGTAGTTTAGCGGATGGGTGAGTTGTTCACGGCTTTGCCAAGCTGTGGGAATCATGTCGAGCTGTCCAGGCTTTGGTTCAAGCCTTCCGCGAGAGCAATGATGGACGGGCTTGATCATGGTTGATCCCATGCGTCTAACAGTAGTTCATAGTGGTTCATGCCTTTTTGAAAGTACTTTGGTTTGGAAGTTGGTGATTTCCGAAACGTTCTGGAGACAGCCATGAGGAGAGATTGATGTAGTCTTCCCAGTATGCCTTTCTTAAAAGACCACCCCCAAGCTACCAATTGTTGTTTGATACAAGGCAAGGATGCTAGGACGATATAAAGTAGTTTCTACTGACATGAAAAGAACCTTGCAATGCCATCATGACCAAACAGCAAAGGAGATGGGACGACTTTTTTCACTGGGTGACTGATCAGGGACCCTCCAGTTTAAAATTCCATGAGGGCCCCGGAGGTCTCCATTTCTGAATCGGAACAGCTCCCATGAAAATGGAGGTGTTTCAATCCAAATACCAAGACTCAGGAGGGCACTTTGGTGAGAACTAATGCACCCAGATCGCTGAGGTTGCCGGTTTCACTTTAGGTTTAGAGTTCGCAGAAATTCATCTGAAATCGCAGAAATGTGCCCTTCACTGACCATTTGAAGGGCGACTCTGTGGAATTCACGAGAGGAGTTTCGCCCTTCAGCATCAACGGCTCTTTGCCGCCGTGGCCTGAGAGCCGTTTCCGGCTTCACAAACGAGCATCGCTTCTAGGAGCAAAGGACACTAGGAACAAGTGCATCACTTCTTAGTAACAAGTGCCTTACTAGTAGTAACAAGGACGCTAGTAGAAACAAGTGCATCGCTTCTAGTAACAAGTGCCTTACTAGTAGTAACAAGGACGCTACTAGGGGCACCATTGGCAATTTCACAAACGAGTAACAACGCTCACAAAGCGGGCCATCGCAAGTAGGTTGGAGGCCATGGCTCCTAGGTTGAGGCCACCGCTGTTACTTTAGTGGCACTGATCTCCTAAAGTCTAGGCTGTGAGCGACGCAAGCTACACATGTTTTGTCAGTCTTGAGGTTAGTGAAGATGATGCAGAAGGTCCGTGGCCACAGTCAGCGCGACGCGCATGGTGTCAAAAGGAGGAGACATTTGTTCCTAGTAGCTTCTTGTTCCTAGTAGTACGGCCAGGAGCCCCTAGTAGCGTCCTTGCTCCTAGTAGCGATGCCAAAAGCCCCTGTAGCTTCTTGTTCCAAAAAAAGTTTTCCTATGTTTGTCAAGATTCCAAGGTTCTTGTAGCTTGTCATGGTTTCTTTTGACCTTTAGACAGTTTTCCATTGTCTTCTTTTTCTAGGCCTTTAGACCATGGTTTGGTTCTTTCTGTGGTTTTGGGCATGTTTTGACCTTGAGGCGTTATATTTTGTTGTGTGCTTTTCCTCTTCTTCCTTGTCAGGCTTTTAAGGCGTTTTAGTCATATTTTGTTTGTTTGTTTCTTTCTTTTGGGCCTTAGACCATGGTCTTATTTGTTCAACCTACAGATGTTGTTGTTCTTTTCTTTATTTATTTTAGACCTCATTATATAGACTTTTTTTTCTATTCGATTTGAGGGTTCCTGTCAAAGTATTCACAATCCGTTGACAGCCGAGCCTGCCTAGTCTGGCTTCGACATCCAGCTTTGCGGCTTTGGAAAAATGGCAGTCTACCATGGTGTGAACGAGTGCGCTTCTGGATCGGGGCTCGGGAGGCCAGGGATGCTTTGCAGAACTGCAAGGAGAGGACTCCAACCCAATAGCAATGACCTCCAACCTACTATCGATGGCCTCCAACCCAAAAGCGATGGTCTTCAACCTACTAGCGACGGGCTCCAACCTACTAGCGATGGCCTCCAACCCAATAGCGATGGCCTCCAACCAAATATCCATGGCCTCCAACCTACTAGCAATGGTCTCCAACCTAATAGCCATGGCCTCCAACCTA